ATATTTTATCATAGATTCGAATAATAGCAATTTAAAAAAAATGATAATCTTTGTACTCACTTTTACCCGTCAGTTCTATGTCCAATGTTAAAATTCGAAATTCCTGCGAGATATTGAAGATTAAACGTCAAGTCCTCGTTTAAACTCAAGTGTTGGTAAAAAATTACCTACAGAGCCAGCCCTTTGCATGACAGTAATCTTGAAAACAATGCAAGCGACGAAGTTGTGGTGAATGCACGTATAGTTCCATTCAAATTTTCAGTATTGTGGTGAGTAGTTATTTTCTTACGTATAGGTATATATTTCATTGTAATTTATATAAGGCTATATGTGATTTGTTGAAAAGTAGCATCCAGTAATAAAAAATATCAGTAAAATACTTAATTCTGAATTATAATCTCAAATTTGTATCCCATTCATCAGTACCGTGTCGTCAGTTCCATGTTCGATGTTTGGGTTATCTTTTTTTCGCAAACTTTAATTTACAATGTCATTATAAACTCATATAAATTTAGTGTGGGTCCCATATCTAATAATTGAGATATCGGTATACCCAAAATCCACCAGCCGCCACTGATGTGTGGTAGGTGTTATTTGATTTTAAGATATTTAATGTATAATATGATCAAAGTTGCAATAAATCTTATATTTTCCAATAAATTATTATTATTATTTAATTAGTACCCTGGTATACTCGTCACTTCCCTTGCATTCAAATTTAGAAAACACAAATATTTCGAAAACTGTTTGAAAAAGTGACTGACCCGGTCTGGAATAGTATATTTATTATATTATCTATGTTCTCATAACAAAATACTGTTTAATTTTCTTCGAAAACTATATAAACAAAATGAGGTCAAAAGTTGCCCAACTTTTGTAGAATCACCCATAAGTACCAGAGCTTAAAACCGCAAGATTTAATTTGCAATCTTTTTCTGATAGCGGTTTTGCATTGACTAACAACCCCCTCAGGAGCTCTAAGCGGCATAAATACAAGTCAGTGCTGGAGGGGGTGCAATCAAACATAGTATGTGAATTCTATTGAATTGGAAATAGAACAAAAAATGCAGCTAGGCAGGCGAAAGTATGTGACATAAATTAAACAAACAGTTGTCTCGAAACGCAGTAGACCGCAGTCATGGTAAACAGACTGAGAGGCTCAGTAAAAAAACGGTGAAAAATAAACGATCTTCGCACAATGTGCAATTTGTGTAAATATGTTTCCTATAATGTATACATTTTCAGTCTAGTATAATAAATCTTCTTTGAAGTCAGTAGGTACTTCTAAGGAGCAGCTGAATCTGCTTATTTTGAACGACCCGACGTGAACGGCAATACTTTGGTACTGAAGTAATGGTTTCGCACAGTGGAGTAAATAATTTGCGCATATCTGCTTCCTAGGCCCCAACAGCGAAATAACAACACAATTAGCTTAATTAGCTTTAGGGCAATGGTTTAAATTTAAATAAGTTTACTACGAAGTACGTATATAGTCATCGCGGCGTGTTTAAAATTGCGTCATCAATGTCGAATGTCAAAAACCGATTTCTCGACATCCGTTTAAAAAACGTGAAATGTTAGGTAAGGTAGTCAGTAGCGTATCATTTTGTAAAATTAATCTATAAATAATCTATAGCGGTTTCTTGGATTACATGCGCAAAAGGATTAAGCAATTGTAATGTCTGTGCTTGGTTCAGAATTTGATGACGCAATTTCAAACATTCGCCGCGATGACTATAGTAAATTTTTAAAACAATGCCAACTAACTTTGCTTTTTTGGAGGCCTTTTGACGCTTGGGTAGAAAACTAATTTTTAGAAGTCCTTAACTCAAGTTTTTAAAAATACCCGGTTTAGGACTAAAATACACCAATTGAAAGTATAAATGTATACCTACACAAAAAATGACCAAATAGATTTTAGCGTTTTTAAGTTATTATAAAACAAAATTAAAATGTTTTACTGAATTTAAAGCACTCTATCGGCTAAAGGAAGGCTTCCTAAACTTTCTGCCGTGGAATCGGGGACGAAACAACGTATTTTCGGCCGAGGTAGTAAGAAAATACATTTTATGGATTAAGGGTCATAAGAACAAAAAAGTACACCAATAATTCCTAAAAGCAGAAAACGTTAAAAATGTTAACATACAACAAAAATATTGCTCACGGATTCTATGGCTTAAAATAAGTCGATTTAACCCATATTACCCATCTTTGTATATAGGTGTTAACATTTTTAACTTTTTCTGCTTTTAGGAATTATTGGTGTACTTTTTTGTTCTTATGACCCTTAATCCATAACATGTATTTTTTGGCATCACATTCCATTGTATTCTGCATTTTTATGTTGATCTAGTTGTGGCTTTACTAGTCACTCTTTAACTTTTAAGAATTTTTTAAGGTAATATCGTCGATTCAGGAGTTTCTTAATGATAATTCCATTAATCGGTGGTAGAAAAGTCAGTAAATCTGTCAGTCTGTAAAAGTTATGGTAAAAAGTTTAAAAAAGTATTTTTTTGGGAAAGTTATGCACATTATTAATAAATAAATCCAAATACCTTAATTTTTTTTACTGGTTTTAATATTTCCATTTTTTATTGACTTTTTATATGCTATGATAGGTATTTTAAACCACTTTAAAATCAACGTTATATGGACGTTGTCTTCTGATTTTTCCTTATTAGTCGTTATCAATAAGGAAAATCCTTATCAATTCGAAGTATGCGATTTTTAATTTTTTTCAGTGGTTACCCCTCGGTTAGGATATATCTGCACTATACATATTACACGTTTGATTCGCTTTGAACGAGTTTAAAATACTCTCTCTAAAAATGAAATAGTTAAAATTCTACTAGGTATTTAAATTAGTACCAGCATTTTTTACTAATAAAATAGTCGTTTTCACTTTTAAATCGTTATTTTTTACTACGTAAATAGTTAAAGTTTGACTAATTTAAGATAAGTCACCATCTTTGACTATTTATGAGAGTTAAAAGTAACTAATTTCTTTAATCGTTTGTGGCCAACAACAAAGTAATATTTGAATTAAATGCATATACCTAAGCTCCATGGTTAAATGAGCCATAAAAACAAATAAAGATACAAAAAGTTTAGCTCAAAACACAACACAAATAATATATTGAACTTTAAAATATTGTGAACAATAATTATTGACAAATAAAATTGATTTTTATTAGAGCGGCTGATAGCCGAATGGGTTATGACAACAGCTTGACAAGTGACACCCGTGAGTTCAATTCCCGGCTGGGTCAAAACTTTTTTTAAATTTAAATCTACTAATTTGACTATTTCATTCAGTAGAATTTGGCTAATTATTAGTGACTGCTTTTTTGCTATGACAATTAGTCAAATATGACTTATAATTAGTTACTTTTGACTAATTCATTTTAACACATTGCGTGCCACGTGTATATTTGGAAAGTATCCTAGGGGGCCATGAGCCATGAGCCTAAAACCATGATGTCGCATATAAATCATCGAAAAAAATAGTAATTTTGCGAATTTGCTTGAAGCAAATATACCAAAATATACCAGAATGTTCGTGGCAGGCCACAAATGGGGTAGTTAAATTTTTTCTGACCTATACTTTTTATGGTTTTATTCAAGGCGTGTTGTAATATTAAACATTTCTGTGAAATCAGAATCAGAATATAAATTTTTATGACGTCACAAACCTCGCCATGTGACCAACATTCTAAGATTTCTATTGGTTGAAAATTACCCTGTTGTCAAGTTGTCTTGTTAATGATTTCATTCGGTTATGTCAGAAAATACCCGAAGAGGTTATGTACAAATACTGTCACTGTCAGTTGAGTGAAAGAAGAAGAAGATGAGGTTAAAGAAAATTCTGAAATTAAAAGTTTTATTGATAGGTTTTCACCTTCGGTCATCTATGATTGAAACACCGTGTGAAACCTAATAAAATGTAATAAATAGGTACCTAATAACTGTCTAAAGCAGGGTTTAATATATTTCATAGAAAAAAGTGGCAAAATAAAGCTGGAAATGAATGAAATAAATTTACAAAAAATAACAGTAAATGTAAGTTAACAATGGTATTTATGATATTTGTGTATAGTTTTTATAAAACTTGCATCCCTGATGATGAGCATCAAAACCTTTTGTAAGATTAAAAAATGTATGACAAACTTTTGGACTGTTCGACTCTAGAGTACATTTTTGTACTTTTCGACAATTCTGGTTTAAATATTGCTGCAATAATGTACATAGTAGGTAAAGATAGTGCAGGGTCTACAAATAGACATTTTGATTAAAATTATTCAAACAGATGGTCACCAAATTCATTAAGTACCTATCTTCCTTATTACGAGGTATCATATTACTGTTTGATATTTTAGAGTCCAAGATATATCTAAAAGAATATAAAGAACTAGGCATTATACTAATGAAATGCATTTACGACAAAATATGATTATAATTATAGGTAAAAAACATAACCCGAAAAAAAGAAACGTCAAAAAATCAATTCTTCTTCTTCTCAACTAAAATTATAGATCAAGTGGTTTTAAAACTAAAATTTTATAACGTGGCGCCATCTATCGTAAGAATCTTAAACTAAACACACTGGCAACCATAGAAAAAGCTGGCAACGTTGTCAATAGCCTAGTGACGTAATTAGGAGATGTTTTTTTGTAAATATCTCGAAAACGGTAAACTCAATTGAAATTCCGATTTCACAGAAATGTTTAAAATTACAAAACGCCTTGAATAAAACCATAAAAAGTATAGGTCAGAAAAAATTTAACTACCTCATTAATAACCCATAAGATAAAGCGTGTAGCGTCTAGCATATCTGCAAGACGCGGCCTGGTAGTGAATATTGTCTGTCTTGCATATATGACAGACGTGGCCCCTCAGGAAGTAGCTCTGTCTGTCAAATATGTCAGACGTGGCACGCAATGTGTTAAGAGAGCTCAATGTTTCCGCATTAATGATAATAATTTGTTCTTGTTTTGTTTCAGACAGCGCCACCATAAAATGTCAACCTTCCGGGACGTAGTCGAGGTGACGACTGACCCGCAACCGGACGCGGCGCAGGCGCGCGCGCAGCAATGCTCCACGTACACGTTCCCGGAAGTGGTGCGACCGCCCGAGACGCGCGGCCATCTGCGCAGCGTGAGCCACGGCGGCGGCGGCTCGAGCTCGGCGGGCGCAGTGGGTCGCCCTTCTGCGTTGAAGGGCGCGCGCGGTCATCAGCGGGCGCTGTCGCAAGGACAGATCGCCGACACGGGCGGGGGGGGCGCGACGGGGTCGGCGGGCGCCTACAGGCCGGGACACAGTCGTGTGGGGTCAAAGACGGATTTCATACTGCCGCCGGGGCATAAAGATGCCGACGGCGGGCCGGATGCCGTCCCCAGGGTGACGGCCAAAGGACATTCAAGGTAGGTCTCATTTGAGTAATCCTATTGTTTAAAAAGTGATTAAAAAGGTGGTTTTTATAGCAGTGGCGGCCCGTCAGGGGAGGCAGGTGAGGCAGTGCCTCATCATAGAGAATTAAAAAATAGTCAATAAAATTGATTGATTTTATATGTGGAATACCCAGCAACATTTAAATTATTTGAATTTGAAACGACCGCAATTTAAACTAATATTTATAGCTAGCCCTACTTAAAATACTCCATAGAGACCCTGTTCAAACCGATATATATTTGTATCGGAATGTATGGTGTTTCTATAGGGTGTATCGGTATGTATAGGACCCATAGTTAGCATTTATGGTTGTTCTATAGGGATATCCACCCTTGATCTATTTGTTATTGGTTTCAATGGGGACAATACACATAAATGTTTTATGGTTGCTCTATAGGGATATGATATATCCCTATATATCCTTCATTGAATTATTTGCTATCGGTCTCATTAGGGAAAATGTAAAAGTTATGGTATGCCTATAGGTAATTTCATATAAATTTTCTATCGGGCCGTATCCGAAAAAAACCATGGACAAATGCACATATTGAATCCGGTAGCGCCCGATAGATTATTTTGTGTAGGTCTCTATGGGGTATTTAAGCAGGGAGATGATTGGCTCAGAAGCATACCTAAACTAATTTAGACTCACGATTGGCGTTAGCCTTGTTGTCTCGTTCTATTACAATGCGATATCATAGTTGTCTCCTTCTCTCGTATTAGAATACGCGAGGCAGGCACGCCTACAACCAAGGAAATAAGCAGGTGTTGTGGCAACACTGTTGCGGAATTTTAGATAAATTATACTTCACACGTTTTTCAAAATTCAATAAAAAATGGTATTATTTTTCTTACAATAAATCGATTTAATCGAAATTACATTTCTATTCTAAAATAAACATATTTTAACACTATCGCCATCTTGTAGCCATCACAGTAACCAATAAAATAAATACAGATTCCTTCTTTAGGCTTGTTTTGGTTATAAAATTCTGAACTGTTTAAAGAACAAATCTGTGGTTATTTACGCAATTATTTTTCTATGAGTTTGTCTATTTTATGATTCTTTTGTAAGTGGTTTATTCTGTGGGTTTAGTTAATTGAACTTGGAGATTTATGTGAATTTAGTCATTATGGATATTACGGTGAGAAATTGTAAAGTTTAAGTTGGGTTTAAAAAAATTTCTTCGCCTTTAAATGAGGGCAAAACCCTGCCTCTGCCTCACCAAAATGAAATGTCACGGGCCGCCATTGTTTTAGAGGTATGGTAAGGAATTATAACTATATGTTTGAAAATGATTTCGGGCATGTAGAATAAAGCATAATCTGGAAGACCAACTCTCGACTAATTTTTTGAGCATCGGCAATAATAGCCTCACTGGTTTATCAGTATAGACTAGCTACTTTAAATATGGTGTGATATCACACCATTGTTGAGGTAAATAAATTTACCGCGCTCATCGAAAGTTTCCTGTAATAAGTTGATTGTGTCGCGTGCTGGGGGTCATTTTAAAACCAAATCTCCTTAACACTAACGCAATGTATTTTGAGAAAAAATTCAGTAATCATCAATTTATAGCGCTCCATTGACTGTAATGCTTTGACAGGTATCATTCTTGAAAAAATATGGGACAATGATTTCAGCGCCCATAAAGCACTACAAATTTAGAAATTTTGATTTTTTTATGTAGCTATTTAATAAAAATTTTACCTCAACAAATGCCTAGGTTATTTGGAACCAGTCTTGAACTTTCAAATCAAGTCAAATAATTTTAGACAATAAAGTTAACTGGATTAGTCATCTAAAGCACAAAGTTCAAAAGGCCTCTGTGGCCTTCTGGCAATGTAAAAGAACTGTCAGGAGAACATAATAGTCCTTTGGTTGTATACGGCAGTTATTCGACCAATGTTGTGCTATGCTATGCTGGTGGTCCAAACAAACCAAAAACAGATAGAGCACGTGCAACGGTAAGCATTTCCTCTTTAGACCTGTTCGTAGAGAAAAGTGCATTGAGATCGTCTCTCAGGCTTACTACCACCAAACTGTGGAAAGGAAACGATTCAAACAATCGTCTTACTTGTATCCTGACTTGTGTCCCAAAAACACCTCCTCTGGGTGAAATGCTTGACCAGATTGTACCAAGCTACAACTTTAACAGACACTACCGAGTATGGGTGAATGGATCCCCAAACACCATACCCGACATATCCATTTTTGCAGATGGATCCAGAACTGAAATAGGCTTTGAAGCGGGGGTGTACCTACTGTCAAAACCCATTAATATGTCTCAGCATATCAACAATTTTTGGACAATTTTCCAGTGTGAAATAAAAGGCATAGTGGAAGCTGCTCGTAAAATAACCGAACTTTTTGTAAATGGTAAAATAATATGAATCTCTTCATATAGTAGGGCGTCCCTACTGGCCTTGAGAAACAACAAAGTTGATTCGGGGCTGTTGGCAAAATGCATTGCTACATTGAAGCTGATTTCAACAAAAAATGTCATAGAACTCGCATGGGTAAAATGGCATAATAGAAGTAAAGGAAATGAAAAGGCCGATGAACTTGCAATGCATGGATCGGCAAAACTGCCAATAGGTTCTTGAATTTTTAAATAAAGAAATTAACTCACCAAATTCACCGATGGGTTAACTAAAGTACATGACCAAAACTATATTAGTAATCCGTCTGACAGTTTGGCAAAATATAGTCTGCAGCTCTTCCGGAAAACTTGTTTTGATCTTGTCGGAATTATAACGGGTAACTGCAGACTCAACAAATACAATCACACACTGGGAAAATTAGTCAATTCTCTCTGTATAGCCTGTAACTTGGGAGAATAAAACGTAATGCATATTATTTATGATTGCCCTGCTTTTCTCAAGTTTAGATAGTCCAATTTAGGAGAAGACAAGACATTTCCCGCCTCCCTCCTGACATTATTTCAGAAGCTTAGATGGCTGGAGATCCATACATATGAGCAAGAATAATTTGGAAAAAGGATTTTTGGAGGTAGAACAAAGGACCAAATGTGGCCCAGTTACCTATGTGTGACCATGTTATGGCTACCCTTCAACCAAATCCATTCATCCATCCATCCTCCATGAATAAACAAAATTTTGCGTTGGAAATGAAGATGAAGAGCAATTTTGTTTTGGCCAACTCACGAGCCTGTCACGGCGCCCATATGCCAAAAATCATATCTAAACCCAAATGGCATAAAATTATTAAAAGTACTCTCTAAAAATAAATTAATTAAAATTAATTTAAGCACTCGCTCGCAAGCTCGCTCTTGCCTAAATTAAATTCGTGTATAAAAAGGCGTTTATCAAACTTGATACATAATTTAAAAAATATGGTTATATATTTTATAACTATATATAAATATTCTCACAAACATGAATTTTGAACTATAAAACTAATTTTTTAAATAATTTGTCAAAATGTGCTGAATATTAATCAATACAGTTCCTGACACTACTCATTGATGTCACAAAACTAACTATTGGTGTTGTCAAAGTAACCCGTGATGTTTTATTAGATATTGTATGATTTTAAATGGTACACTGACATTGACATTGTATATTCAATTGATTTGTGTTCTGCGCATTAATGGTTAGTGATTTAGGATCAACGTTTACTGTTTTATTTTCTACGTGTAGTACATTTTTAAATTGATGCTGGTTATTATAAATATTGTATTGTAATATAAATGTGATGGTATTCCAGTTTTTGAAATAGTGATTGAATAGTAATTAAAAAAGTAGGAATTTTAAATACTGTTATAGAAAATACCAGGACAGAATGTCTAAAATGTATCATAATCATTAAATGACATCATAAATTTCTTTAAAACATCTATAGATTATATGGGATTATAATGGGACTCCCATAACAGCTAGTAACCATCATATTTCTTATATTTCTGATAAAATATTTTTGCCTTTATCAATGCAATTAATAATAACTATAAAATTTGGTTTTATCAATATTTTGCAAAAGAATATACTAAAACAATAGCATTTTTATTTGGTATATAAAACTTATCGTTTTCGTGTAGTCAGTCTAGACTCAAAACCATTTCGTTCTTTAAAATGTCAGTAAACCTGACGGTACAAGGCCTCCGTAAAAATTTCGCACGACCATTAGATTACCCATAAAGAATTTGAACAAAAAAATTCAAAACCTATAACGTCTAATGCCACGTTTAACAAATTCCAGTTATTACCGATCGACCATTCAATATAATAGCATTAAATTACACGAATTACTTTCGATAGAAGATCTAGATAAAATGCTCTACGAAAGGAGATAGACAGGATAATGATTCGAAGCTATAACTATGCAAATCATGTCACATAACGGGTTTTAAATTATTAAAACTTTAACCTATGCCAATTGACGGTCGCGAATAACAACTTAATAATTTTTGCACAACGCACGTACTACAGAACTGGAACACAAGAAAATTGATTCATACGATACGTTTTTATTGCACCAAGTATAAAAAGTGCAGACATTTGTTATTAAAGGTAAAGAGGAACCCACTGGGTCAACCGATTTATTTAAATGTATCATTTTATCGTAATAAATGAGTTTAAACATTGTTTTTAGACAAGAATGGTGTGATATACATTAATGACACTCACGCATGCTAGTTTATGGCCAGCTTAACGCGCGTACATGAGTACACCCACAGGTTTTTTTTCAATATTTAAGTAGATATTAACTTAGAATTTTAATAAATGAAATAATGCAATAATAGTAGGGATGTAAAATACGGTTTTTTTCCAGATGTAAAAAAACATGATAAAATCTAAAAAAAAACGGTTTTTTTGTTTTTTTTTTCAAATCCGCTACAATAAAGCATATTCTGTCAATAAATAACATCAAACTTAAAAAATGGAGTAATTTTTCAAAATGAAATTTTGAGTAAAATGTATATTAATAATAAAGTGAAATGTAGAATATATTATATTTCATTATTGAAAATTTTGACCGAGACTAAAAAATCTGATTTCTTATTTGGTAGTTTCCACATAAGAAACCAATAGCAATGTAAAACTTCTACACTAATAAAAAAAATTAAAGCATAAAAAAAAATTCCAAATTTTTTGCGATTTTTCGGATAGCTGTATCTTCGTTAAAAATGATCGTATTGGAGCCGTAAAAAAAGGTAATTTAAAGCTTGAAGTTTCTATAGAAACTATAGTTTTGAGATTTTTAGATGAAAAACGTGCAACGCTCAATCCTAACGAATACAGTAATAATGTTCTGACTTAACCACCAATGAATAAATGTTCTACAAGAATTTGCCATTGTTTTTTTGAAAAAAAAAATTCTATACTCTACATGAATTTGAAAAATCATGAAAAAAGTGCTTTTGGTAGCTTTTTGAAAAATCAAGCGCTGAATCAAAAATATAGTAGGTACCTAGTTACTTTTTTTTAGGATCGTTTTTTTTTCAAGTCGCATCTCTAAATAATGGTTACAAAAAATACACAACATTTTTAAAAGTTTAAAATCCCAATTATCTCAAAAACCCGATTCTTCATACAAACATCTAAAAAGTTGTTTTTATTGACCAGTTTTATGATGGAAATGCAGTTTTCGCTTCATAAATGTTAACCTTAATAATTATAACTGATTAGATAATTAAAAATGAATCCTGTTAGATTTTTATTTATTTTTTGTTATATTTTTTTTGTATAAAATAAATTACTTTTAACGGTGTGTAATTCCATTCAAAAGAGGAAATTGTACTTGATTATCTTAAACTAAATCAACTGTACAATTCAAGAATTCGTTTCCTGGTTCAAATTTCTCTATAAATGATGTTATTTTAATCTTAATCTTAATTTTTTAAGAAAATCCGGAAAGTTTGTTTTATCCATTTCATTCAATGAATAATTATCATCAAAATTTTGGGAAAAAAATCACCCTTCTAAAATTAATGTTTATTTTAACGTAATAATATCCAAGAATTGGTAATAAAAATAACGGGTATTTTTGTTTACAAGTTGGTTCTCTTACAAAAAGTATACTATTTAAATTTATAGACGAGCAAATCGTTATCATGTTTATATTTGGAATTATGTTTTTTTAAGTTAAAATATTGTACAGATTTAATTGATAAATGAAAAACTTGTAATTTGGAAACATTATACTAACTTTTAATCATATTTTTATGGTTTAATAAGAGCTTTTGTTGAAGGATTAAAAAATATAAAATGCCAGCGAAAAAGCTAAACCAGCGATGTTTGCTTACAAAATTATTAATATTTATAATTTATAAAAATTATGTGAAAGGAAGTAGACACTACAATATTATCTTTGTGTACATATTTTATTAAATAAAGATTATTTTAAAATTACTCTGGATTATCCTCAAGATGTAATTAATTAAACACTTCTCGCATAGTCTTCTGAAGTGGGTAAAAATTTTTACAAGTGGCACTAGTTAAGTTAAAATAGTTTTGTATTTTGTTATTTAAAGTATTTAAACTTACAAAATAGATCGTTAGGTTTAGGTACATACAGGGCTTTCAAATAAAAGCTAGCCACCCTTAATAATTTTTGAGTTATAGTAAATATGATCTTGAGCAAAAACAGGTCAATTTAGATTTTGAGGGGGAAGTACAAATCTAGTGTTAATTTTATGTTGTACCCTCTCACCCCTAGCTACCCTTACTAAAAAAAAAAAAATGGCACCCTATACCTTGCGAATTGAAAGCCCTGTTTGTAAGCTATGTAAATGGTACATGTATGTAAAAAAAACTTAAATTTTATTTAACAGAATGAGTAGGATTTATTTAATTTATTTTAATTGTAATTTATAAATGTAAGTAAGATACTCTCTGGGTGGTCCTCGCGCCTTTTTACAGCCAACCACATTGCCTATGTACAATATTTCTTTTTTATATTATTAATAAGGCCCGGATTTTTAGGTCAAAAAGTGATAAAAGGTTCCTAAATTAGGTGATATTTTTAATAAAATAGGTATTTTAGGTACCTATATTTTATGTATGTGTTAAGTACATAAAATATAGGTACCTAAAATACCTATTTTATTAAAAATATCACCTAATTTAGGAACCTTTTATCACTTTTTGACCTAAAAATCCGGGCCTTAATTATTAACTGTAATTTAAAATTTGATTTGATTTCATATTAAAGGTCCAAAAAATAAAAGTTTTAAATATTTTGTCTCCACATCATGTGGACCACATGACATCAAAGTGTTTTTGGAATCAGATAATATTTAGAGGTCGCCCATAAAAACGTATATTACAAAAATTAATAATAGGACACAATTAAATCAAAAACTACTATATAATGGCTCAGGAAACTGTTTCCAGTGATTCGTCCTTGGTCAGTAACTGGTTGTTTTTTTAATAAGACTGACTCCGCGTTTGGCAGTAGCATTGACAACTCTTAAAACATTAACAACTTAAAACACTTTTTACGAAGTTATTAGAAAACTGGATTACATGGCCAATTCTGAGGTGGTACTTTCAGAAATTCCTTTCTTTTGTATTTTTCTTTAATAATGACATTAAAGAAGACATTGCTTCTTTCAGTAACAAAGTTTTCCTTAGTTCAATCAATGCGACCTGGACAATCAGGTTATTTTGGACGCTTTAGGTTTTTTACCATCATTTTTTTTTAGTTTTCGTAGACACTGTCGTCAAAAACTCCAAATTTATTAGGTACTTTACTCTACTATGCCTCTTAAAAGCAATGTACCCTTTTTCACGATCTTCTTGTTTTTCAACTTTTTAGAATACAGAAGAGCTGAATATCGTTATATTAAGGTCCAATTAGAACCTTATTCCAATAAATAAATTTATTATAAATGTTGTAAGGCTTGGAAAGCAATTTGTACTTTTATTGAAAATACTAATTATCACTTACACTGTTCAAAATTTCATCACCATTTTAACATCAAATTAACACCATATATGGTCTATATCGATACAAACCAAAATGGTGTTGGTCCGGTGTAAATTCAAATACTAAAATAGTGTTAATTTAACTTTCACACAGTATTAAAATAAATTTTACCTTGTGTAAATTGAACTCCTTTTCAGTGTTAAATATTATGTGTGTTTGGTCAAATTAAATCATACTACACAGAAAAAAGGAAAAAAAAAAAGGAAACAGGAAGTTCCTTGACGCATTACAAGTATATTACCAGTGGTATTATTCCAGAAAAAGGAACCTTCAACTCGCTAGAGATAATGTTTTTAGTTCGTTCCACTAACTTAAAATACTTCAAGTATTGACAGCTGTTTTCACTTATTTAAGGTCTAGTATCGAACAACTTCTAGTGTCACACCATAGCGAAGGGCTACCTGAGCTTATATATTCTTCATGTAAGTCAACAGAGGCGAGATTTAAGAACATCACGTGATCAACAAAAAAATAAATACTTATGGGTCAACTAAATTAATATAGTTAAATGAACTATTCCTTTTTTTCTGTGTAGGTGCACTTCTCAAATATTTTTAGATAAACACCGTTTTTGGTGTTCAATTTCAATCATAATTCATGGTGTTATATTAACACCACTTGGTGTTGGATTTTGACACCATTTTAGGATTACTCTTTACACCACAGATATTTTAAACAGTGTAATTATAACAAAATAGCGACCTCTAAGTTATTGTTTTCTTCCTTTTCAGACAAGCTTCCCGTTCAGAGTCGGTGTACACGCTGCGCACGAGGGCGCCAGTTCCGCTGTGGCGCCGGCTGCTCTGCCTCTTGCTGCGCAGAAAGCCGAAAAACGAGCTGGACGAGCGAGTGCGCATGGTGGTGCCGAACCACATAGTGCCGCCGAAAACGCCGCGCAAGGAGCACCCGAACGGCAGGTACCCCGACAACAGGATCCGCACCACGAAGTACACTCTGTTATCGTTTTTGCCGCGAAATTTGCTCGAACAGTTCCATCGCGTCGCCAACTTATATTTTATTTTTATCGTGCTGCTGAACTGGGTGCCGGCCATCAACGCGTTCGGCAAAGAGATTGCCATGTTGCCGGTGCTGTTTGTGTTAGGAGTGACGGCCGTTAAGGATTTGTTCGAGGATCGGAGGCGGCACGCGAGCGACAAGAGGATCAACAACAGTACTTGTCGGATATACAACAGGTAGGTGTCTTTTTTGTTTGAAAAAGTGTAATGTACCATGAAATAATGGTTTTGGAGTATAAAATTTACTATTTTAAATCACGACGTTTCGACGTTTTCGTCTTCAGGAGAATACTGAATGGGTTAAGTAGCTACAGGTATATTTTTATCTAAACCGGTTGCACTGGAGCATGTACAACGGCATATTGTCCTTAAAATAAGTATTATCACATAATCTCTAACTTCTTCATAGATACCTTTAGAATATCCCTTAAATGCATCTCGTAGCAAATTTGCTACGCTCCGGGAACTTTTATTGTAGACATACTGTATCTGCAACATAATAATTATTGGTGACTGCTTTTTCGCTGTGACAATTAGAGATGTGACGAACCGTATGTATTCGGTACAAAGTAACGGGTACTGGATGAGGTTTGAAATACCGATTCGTTACTTTAAAATACGTTTCGTTACTCGCATCGTTTCGTTACTTGCATCTCCTGCACGGCTGGATGCTCCCGTGGATGAGTTTTGGTTCGTGTCGCGCTTGACGTCACTCGATGAGTAGTGGCCGCGCGAATACTTAAATAATAGTAATATTATCAAAGAAAATATTATATTATTCTTATGAAAAAGCCAAACATTATTTGAACAAATTACAAGGGTACCACTAGCTTCAGTTGCACTGGAAAATCATAATATGAATGATAAAAAAACACATAATGCTGCGTTTGAAGATGAGAAAGACGATCTTTGAAGGGATTTTGACGTAAGAACCAGCACTATTACAGTGTCTACCGTTGCTACTGGAATCATCACCATGAGACAGTACATTGAAGAGGGGATTCTTTACAGAAAAGATAATCCTCTTAAATGGTGGCAAATAAGAAAGGTATTATATCCTGAACTTGCAGGCTTAGTCAAAAAAATATTTATGTGTAATGGCTACCACCGGTACCGTCGCACACTGGTCCGAATCGTGCTTGACCTTGGCCAAAACCCCAAGAATAAAGTTATTAATTATGACATTATTTTAATTCATACAGGTAGAGAAATGTTTGAAGTATTTAAAAACCAAAGCGTTTAGGTATAAAATCGCCCTACATGATCCCTAGGGCAGTTTTATTTAACACTTTTTTGCAATTGCTTGGAAACAGTTATTTTGTTGATTTTGATTGTGCAACAAAAGTGCTATTATTTCGTTAACGACTTGTTCGATTTTAATAGTTCAAAATGGAAAATGTTTCTGAAGGTATGTACAATAATTTTATAAAATTACATTTTTGAAAAAAAAATTATTTGTTTTTAAAATTTATACTAACATAATGGCCTGATTTTAAATTTTTTTCGATTTTTTCGTTTTTTTTTACTTGGAATAAGTTAAAATGTGGGCATTTGCAGAAGACGTTTTTTACGGGGAAACGTTCATTGAAGTGTCTATTATAAGGTTCTTAAAAAATTGGCTGCAGCCACTTGCGCGAAAATTAATAAAACAATAATATACACGTTCGTGCCCGGATTTGAGACAGTAGTCGCGGTTAAACGCAGTGATGCTTAGTAAATATATTTTTTAAGATTTTATAATAGGATAACAAATATACAGAAAAAATTATTTATGCAAAGATATTCGTCAGTACCGCGAAAATTTTTCAAGAAAATCTTCTAGAGAAAAGTCAATGTCGGACGTTTTTTGTCGGCTCCTTGTAACCTCGGACCCGCTTATTATATAAGCTTATAAAAAAAAAATTTCGCGGTACTGACGAATATCTTTGCATAAATATTTTTTTCTGTATATTTGTTAACCTATTAAAGAAAGTGCAGCTGAAGAAATAGACATTGATGACTATGACTTTTAATGTAATAGTATAATTTTAATTTAATAAACATTGAAATTTTGTACGCAAGTGTATTTTATTTTTTCATTTCCCATTTGACAATTATTACAATAATACTAAATTAGTAACCTTACAACCGAATTAGGCCGAACCTAATACTCACAATAAATTAATAATTAAAAAAAATCCGCCATTTTTGGTACATTGGTTTGTATTAAATAATTTTGATATCAAATTCAGAATTAGCGACTGCAAAAATTAAAAGTTTCAGGACGATTAACAATTTTTTTTAAATCCGCCATTTTTGGTCCACCATTTTAAATTTACTAATTTTGATTTTAAATTCATGATTTACGATCCCACAAACCTAAAAATAAACATTTTCAGGACGATTAATTAATTATTTTAAAAAAATCCGCTATTTTGGCCCGCCATTTTAAATTTAATAATTTTGATAATAAATTCGTGATAAGCGACCCCAAAAACCTAAAAATTAACATTTTCAGGACAATTAACTAATTATTTTTAAAAAAAGTCCGCCATTTTTGGTCCGCCATTTTGAATTTAATAATTTTAATATTAAATTCGTGATGAGCGACCCCAAAAACCTAAAAAATAACATTTTTTAGGAGAATTAACTAAATATTTTTTTTAAAAGTCCGCCATTTTTGGTGCGCCATTTTGAATTTAATAATTTTGATATCAAATTTGTGATAAGCGACCCCAGAAACCTAAAAATTAACATTTTCATGACGATTAACCAATTATTTGTCAAAAAAGTCCGCCATTTTTAGTCCGCCATTTTGAATTTAATAATTTTGATATCAATTTCGTAATCAGCGACCCCAATAACCCTAAAATACAAATTTTCACATTATTACATTCACTTTTCGAGTTTTGGCCAGAGAATAAGTCGATTCGGACCAGTGTGCGTCGGAAAGAACCTTTTTAAAATCTGGTATTAAATTAAAATATTATCGAAAAGAGGTTTGTTACTTAAACCAAAACAAATGGAAAAAAAATTGTTTCTTGAAATAAATCAATGATTTTTCTCCAAATAAATGTGCAATATATTTTATATACTTATGATTATCGTTATGTTTAGAAACTTTTATGATAATTTTTCTTACAAAAGAAAATGTTTTGTTTTTATTTTTGCAATAAAAAATATTATTTTATTTAATTTGTATTAATAATTATTATACATCCTCCAATTTAATAAAATATAATCAAAATGTATGTTTTCTTTAAGCAGCGGCTACATTACGATTCTAAATAATAATTAAAACAAACCCTAACAAGCTTAATGCAAAGACTCGTATTTTGTATTATAGCACAGAGTATAATAGTAACGAAAATAACGAGTAACGAATACTTTGTAACGAATAGTCACATTTAAAGTACCGAATACATGCGGGTATTGTTTTTTTCGTTACTTTTACATCTCTAGTGACAATTAGTCAAATATGACTTATAATTACTCATTTTTGACTAATTTATTTTAAGAGAGTAGGTACTATGCTCCACACCTCAAAGTCCCACCACGTGACCACGTACGGAACGCAGTCTTTTGAAAATTTGGCATTTAAGGCTTTTCAGGTTATGTATCTGGCAAAGTATAGTCAACGAGAGAAATAATATTATGTTTAGGCGTTAAAAATGTATAAATCTTTATAACATTACAATAACAATGGATGGTTTAAGAATTTAAGAATATAAATACTGCATTTAATGAAATTCCAAAGTGTATGGTGCCAAATAAGTAATATTTTTGTGAATTTGGTCCAAATATCTGGTTTTCTCCATTAAATAATTTTAACTAAACAGCATCTTTAAAAAAATCTAGCTTCTCTATTATGGAATAAGAATATCTGTTTTAAAGCTAGGTTAATATATTATAACAAAAATATCATCTAATTTTGTAATTTTAAGGTTAGAAAAATTTATTTTGACCAAAATAAATAAAAATTTTGGATTATTTAAAAGCCAGTATAATATGGTATTTAAAAATATGGTAGTTTTTCTTATCCAGCTTAAAGTGTACCTACATAAAGTTTTGTCAATACAAATAGTTAAAAAGCTTCGACTGAACTTGATCTACATCGCAAAATCATTATAACTTTAAAAATTTTAATAAATCACGTCATGGGAGTATTAAATATTTTTACATTGCAAGTTTCTCTAAAAATTGTTTGTTTTCTTATAATCTAACTTAAAGAAGGTATGCCGAGAGGTATGCACAAGTTTTGTCTTAGAAGTATAAAAGCTTCAATTTAATTTGAACCATATTCAACAATTATTTAGTATACCTATATTTATTTATGACCATATTAACACACTCTTCCAAATAATCCACTTATTTATTTTGGTCAAAATAGATTTTTCTAACCTTAAAACACAAAATTAGATGATATTTTTTGTTCTAATACATTAACCTACCTTTGATACAGATATTATTATTTCATAATAGAGAAGAATTTTTTTTAATAAATGCTGTTTAGTTAAAACTATTTTATGGAGAAATGTAGACCCAATGCACAAAAATATCACTTATATTGCACCTTACACTTTGGAATTTCATTAAATGCAGTATATATATTCCTAAATTCTTAAAGCAACCATTGTTATTGTGATACTATAAAGATTTATTAACTTTGAATGCTTAAACATAAACGGTAACACTATAAATATTATTTCTTTCATTGACTATACTTTGACAGATACATAACCTGAAAAGCCTTAAATGCCAAATTTTCAAAAGACTGCGTTTCGTACGTGGTCACGTGGTGGGACTTTGAGGTGTGGAGCATAGTACCTTAGACGGCCAAAAAAATCAACTATTTTTTGTTGAAAAGTATATCGAAAATATGGTTTGGGGTGACAAAAAAAAATATTGTGAAAGTTTGAGTCCATAATATTAATATTAAGAGGTCTATCATCGCAATTTTAATTTTTTTTCCATCAGCAAGTTTTTGTCTCAGAACTCCCAAACCATTGTGTTTAACAAAATTGACTCGAAAATATTTTTTTTAAGAAAATTTAATGCTCTACAAAAAAGGTTAAAGTGAAATTTTCCGTCAGATGAACCGTTTACTTAAAATCATGCCTTAAAAATTGGTATAGTTTTACATTTTGATCTTTTAAATTGGAACTTTGTAATTTATGTAAAAATGAGTACCTACCCAT